TTTCCCCTCCTCCATTCTTCGTTCTTCTTGTTCGTCGTCGTTCTCCAACTTCATTCCTTCTTCTTCTCCTTTCCCCCCTCCCCCTCATACAAAGAAGCCCCCTCCCCCATTCTTCTCCTCCTCCTTACTCCCTTCTCCTCCTCCTCCTTTCTTCTTCGTGCTCCTCCTCGTTTCTCCCTCCGCCTCTTCCTTCGTCCTCCTCCTTTCCCCCCTTCTTCATTCTACTTATTCGTAGTCATCCTCCATCTTTATCCCCACTTCTCCCCCTCCTCCTCCTCCTCCTTTCTTCCTCCTCCTTCTACTTATTTGTAGTTCGTTCTTCTTCTTCATTGTCGTCAAACTCCCTTTCTCTTTTCTTCCTCCTCCTCCTCCTCCTCCTTCCTTCTTCGTCCTCCTCCTCATCCTTCACCCTCCACCTCTCCCCCTCCTCGACCTCTCCTCCTCCTTCCAGTCGTCCTTTCTTCGTTCTTCTTGTTCGTCCTCGTCCTCCACCTACTCCTCCTCCATTCTTCCTTGTTCTCCTCCTCCTCCTTTCTTCTTCGTGCTCCTCCTTGTTTCTCTCTCCGCCTCATCCTTCGTCCTCCCCCTTTCCCCCTTCTTCGTTCTACTTATTCGTAGTCGTCCTCCACCTATATCCCCACTTCTCCTCCTCCTCCTCCTCCCATCTCCCTCCTCCTCCTCCAAAGTTCCCATGCAATCAATCTATCGCCACGTGGCAGCATCTACAGTCCTCTTTCTTACTTCTTCTCCTCCTCCTCCCCCTCCTCCTTTCTTCGTTTTTCTTGTTTGTCGTCGTCCCCCCCAACTTTTTTCCTTCTTCTTCTTCTCCTCCTCCTCCTCCTCCTATCTCCCTCTTTGCCTCCAAGACGACGATTGTCACGTGGCCGAAAGTCACGATGACGACGATAACGCAAAGTGACTCACAAACAAACAAGGAAAAAGAAAAATTAAAAACCAATGAAGAAAGGAAGGGAGAAGGAGGAGAAAAAGGAAGGAGGAGGAGCAGGACGAGGGGAAGTGGAAGGAAGAAAGGAAAACTAGGAAGACGGAGGAGGAGGAGGAGAAGAATGACGAGGAGGAGAAGAAAGCAGGAGGAGGAGGAGGACGAGGGGAAGTGGAAGGAAGAAAGGAAAGCTAGGAAGAAGGAGGAGGAGGAGGAGAAGAATGAGGACGAAAACAAGAAAGCACGAGGAGGAGAAGGAAGCAAGGAGGAGGAGGAGGAGGAGGAGGAGGAGGAGGAGGAGGAGGAGGAGGAAGAAAGGAGGACGAGGATGAAGAAAGCAGGACGACGGCGAAGAAAGGAGAAGGAAAAAAAAAGTGAGAGCGGCAGGAGGACAATTACTACGAGCACTCACCTTCTGTGATGGCCGGCAAGACTACGACACGAGGGGGCAGCAGCTTGATGACGATGGACACCACGACGATGGACACCACGGCAAACACGCGGCGGCAGCGGCTCGACGACGATGGACACCACGACGAACACGCGAGGACGCGCAGGAGGGCAGCGGCCGACGGGATGGCAGCTCTCGACGATGACCACAGCAGCTGGAGGCGGCGCGGGAGGGCAGCGGCAGCAGTCGACAGTGAGGAGTTCGAATTCGAAGCATGGGGGCGAAATTCGAATTCAAACCCCGACTGACCCTAGGCCGCTGATCGTCGAGGATCAACGGTTGAGATTAGATCGAAAAAAAAAAAGGCTGGGTGGGCCCCATTTTTTTTTCTCAGCGCCTCGTGCAAAGGTAGACCCTTCCCCGTGACCCAGCGCCGACAAAACCCCCGAACGACCGTACGGCCAAATTTCCGCTGAGGGGCCCGGGGTTTGGACCAGGCGGGCCGGGCAGGTTCCGGGCAAGGTGGGGGGTACCCGGGCCGCCCGGATCGTAGCCTAGGTTTTCAAACAATTCCCCAAAAAACATATATTATGGAGAAAACTAAACTAAAAAACATTTTCCTGGTCACTACATCCAAATTCTTTACCAAATTTGAATTAAAAATCAAATGCAGAAAATAAACACTATAATAAAAATAAAAAAAAATAAAAAGATAATTAAAATGAGTGAGTGTGCCAGCACCTTTTCAACACCGCCATCTTTGCCGATTGTTAATTATTTTTTGGCATTGACAAATGCACTGAAAATTTACAGATATGTAGTTTATATAATCAATAACGTGTTAAAAATTTTTCAAAAAATAATAAAATTGTTTAGGCCCCAAAGTAAAGTGAAAACAAAAAGTTAAAAGTGAAAAGAAACAAAACAGTGAGTGGGCGAGCACGTTTTGACACCCCCACCTTTGACGATTTTTTATGTTGTTTTGGCTTAGCAGAATGGCTTCAAAATTTATAGGCGTGTAGGTTACATCATAGAAAACTCAGAAAAAAAAATTCAGAAACAAAAACATATTTTTAGGTCCTGAAATGTGTTTTTGCGGGGGCCAAACCTGGAGGTGTTCGGGCCCCGAACGGGACCCCGAACGCCCGAACGTTCGGTCAGGTAAC